CCCCTCCGGGCAGCAGCCACAAGGCCAGGGCGCGCCCCGAGCTTGGACGGCCCCGCCCCGAATGCGCATGCTCTCCGTGGCCGTGCTGTGCGTGCGTGGGCGTGGACCTGCACGGGACGCGGGATGAAAATCGCTTCTGGAGCATGTCGCCCTCTCTCTGCCCGTCCAGGTTACTCCTCGCTGCAGGACGAGCTGCTGTCCCCCGCCTCCTTGCACTACGCGCTTCCCTCTCCGCTGCGTGCAGACCAGTACTGGAGCGAGGTGGCCGTCATAGACGCCATCCCCCTGGCGGCCACGGAGCATGACGTCATGCTGGAGATGTCTGACATGCAGGTGTGGTCCGCCGGCCTCACGCCCTCCCTGGTCACTGCTGAGGACTCCTCTCTGGAGTGCAGCAAGGCCGAGGACTCTGACGCCACCGGCCACGAGTGGAAGTTGGAGGGGGCGCTCTCCGAGGAAGCGCGGGGCCCCGAGCTGGGCTCTCTGGACCTTGTGGAGGACGACACAGTGGATTCAGATGCCACAAATGGCCTTATCGATTTGCTTGACCAAGAGGAAGGTCAGAGGTCAGAAGAGAAGCTGCCAGGTTATAAAAGGCAGGATGACTCGACAGGTGCAGGGCAGGACTCAGAGAATGAAGTGTCTCTTGTTTCAGGCCAGCAGAGGGTGCAAGCCCGAATCTCAGACTCCCCCACCGTGAGCCGGGTGCTGGAGAGTACGCAGGACAGGTAAGGCAGGGCGGTGGTGTCAGGACCCCTCTGTCCGCCTGGGCTTCTGGGTGAACTGTGCCTGGTGGTGAGTGCAGAGGGAATCACTGGGGCGCTGCCTCCCCGGTGCCCCACCTGCCCTGGAGCTGATAATCCAGCCTGTCACCAGCTTGCCTCCAGAGCTGCCCCAAGTGGAGCCGTGATCTGCCAAGGCCAGATCCTTCCTGAGACATCCCCAGGTGTGGCCGGCAAAAGAGCCACCGCAGGTTGTTGGGACCAGATGGTTCATGAGGTGTGGGGAAACCGTGGCTCTGAGCCGGCGTGCCGCACGCCTCCACCACTGAGGCAGTGAAGACCGAGTTAGAACCCTGGAAGCACCGGGACTTGGGGACGTTCTTGCATGTGTCCCGTGGTCTGCATGTGACAGGCCTGATAATGGTGCCCTTTTGCTGTCCTCTTTAAAAGTGCGTTATCTGGGGCAGGACAGAGTATCCAGCTGGTAGGTGCTGGCAGGTCTTCCCCCAGGCTTCCTGTCTCGCGAGGTGTGTGTGCCCACAGGGAGGCAGGGCGTCAGCAGCTCAGGCACAAGGGCTTCGTGCCCCTCTGCAGACAGCGCTGGGGCAGGGCTGACTGACCTTCATGCTCCGGCCCTGGTGCCATGGACACCCTCCTTACCCCCCGCACCCCAACACCATGCTCAGTGCACGGGGTGGGGGGCTCCCCATAGCCGCAGAGAGAAGAGACAAACCCCAAACCCAGGCTGGCTCAGGAGATGGGGGCAGAGGCCTGTCCTCTGTGGTGTTTCGCTTTCCGGGATTTCCCTCAAGCAGGGGAGAGGCCGTGTCCTCCCATAGGGCCGGGGTCCCCCGGGAGCTCAGGGCTGTCCAGGCCACAGAAGCACTGTCTTTGTGTCCTCTTCCCACCCACTCTGCTCCCCAGGCCCACTCAGAGGCCAGGCTGGATCAGCTGTTCTTGGGGTTCCTATGGAGTATCCCAGAAACCGTAGGAGGAGGGAAAAGGAAGGCTAGAAGATGAGACAGCCCAGGACCCGTCTGTCCCCTGTGTGGAGCCTTTGGTTAGAGGAGAGACCCGTACTGACTGAGCTGAGTGGGAACAGTGAGGCCCTGGCACTCCTGCAGCCAAGGCGTCTCCCTCCACGTGCTAGCCACGTGCCCCATCACAGAGGGTCACCCACGGGGATCCGGAGGCCAAGTCCAGAACCTCGTTGGGCTCCTCTGGCTGACTTAGGCCAGCCCTCAGATGGACTTCATCCACTCAGCAACTTTCTGGAGCACCTACAGAAAGGGCCCAGGGCAGGGGTACAGCCTAGAACAAGCCAGACTACAGGCTCCACCTGCGAGAAGCTTCTGTTCTCATGGAGAGGCTGGCGAGAGCAAGAGAAAGTCGATAAAATGAGAAGTAATTAAGATAGAAATATTCGACAGAAAAATAAAGCAGGGCAGGGTAGGGTGGGCACCCATGTGGAGGGAGTGGGTGGGTGAATTCACAGGGCAGCCAGGGAAGGCCCGAGGGGGACGTGTACGTAAAGGCCTGAGGACTTGAGGGAGTGGATGTGAAACCCGAGGGGTGCTGTCAGCAGAAGGCCCAGCGTGCAGAGCCAGGCGGGGGGTGTGCCGAGTGGACCCAGCAGCACGGGGAAGGTGGTTTGTGCAGGAGCACAGTGAACAAGGGGGTGAGGCCTGGGAGGTCCGAGAAGGACTGTCACATCTGGACAGGATGGGGACTAGAGCTGAGGCCTAGAGCAGGGGAGTGATGTGACGTGGCCAGGATGGAGCGGGGAGGTGAGGCAGGAGGCAGGAGCTGATGCTGCTGTGGACCCAGATGGTGGCGGGAGTGATGAGAAGGGCTTGGATTCGGGAAGTACTTTGACAGTCAAATTAAAAGGATTTGCAGGGGCCAGCGCTATGGCATTGTGGTTAAGACAGCTGGATCCAACGTGGCCAGCTATGTAGTTCAAGTCCTGGACCCAGTGGCTTGAGAAACAAGTGGTTGTGTGTGCATGCCCAAACTCTCAAGAGGAAGGAGGGATGGAGGAGGAGGGATTGCAGTGTGACCATGCCCCATGGCCGTGCTTCTCCCTCTGTCTCTGTCTCTCTGTGCCTCTCTCTGTGTCTCTCTGGCAAGTGTACATGTCCTCTAGCAAAATTTTAAAAATATGATTTTTCTGCTCAAAATGAGAGGAGAGGAGAGTACCCTTGGCCCGACAGCTGCAGAGACGATCAAGCTGTTCCCTGCCGTGGGAAGACCATTTTGGGGAAGTCTGGGAAGGCCAGCCGTGGGAATCTGGCCATGCTGTCCTCAAGGCGCTTAGGAAAGACCCAAGGAGAGATGTGGAGGAGGCCATGGGACTGCGTGTCTGCAGCTTGAGATCTGAGGGCAGCAGGTGTCGTGGTCATTAAGGCACTGGATCCCACATGGCCAACTCCACAGTTCGAGTCCCAGACCCAGAAACTTGAACGATACCCTGGGTACATGCGTGAACTTGCCCAAAATCCCAAGAGGAAAATGGAGAAGGGAATGCTGCGTGATCATCCCCCTGAGGGGTGATTTCTCACTTGCCCTCTCTCCATCTCTCTCTCTCTCTGTCTCCAGGGAGCACATGTGCCCTATAACAAAAAAATCTGAAGGCAAAAACAAAAAGCTCTAAGCTGGGGACAGCTGCATAGGTGTCAGCGTAGAGCTGGGGTACAGCAGGGAGTGAATGCACCCACGTGGGAGGTGCATGCTCCTGAGCCCTGGGATGTTCCGGTGTCTGGGAGTCGGGGTGGGGAAGAGCTGACAGGTCACTGAGAAGGAGCAACCCAAGGAGGGCGAGAAACAGGCTAACGCCCTGTTCTGTGAGCTACGAACGAGTGTGTCCGAGCAGGGGAGAGTCAGACGAGGGCTGCTGAGTGTGAGCAGCCTGGAGGGCAGAGGGGAGGTGTGCTGTGCAGTCCTAGGTGTGGGGTCCCCAGCAACTGCACTAGGTGACAGCCAGGCCTGCCCCCTGGACCAGGCAGTCAGCTGGTGTTCGCTCAGGTTCTGCCAGTCCGGGCTGGGGGGCTCACAGGATGTCCAGGGGGAGCCAGGAGCCTGGAGAGAGCCAAGACAGACAGTGACCAGCTGTCCTTTCTATGTCCACGGCTGTCCCCTCTCCTGGCCCCAGACTGCATGACTGGGACGCGGATGGCTCCATTGTGTCATACCTACAAGACGCTGCACAAGGTTCCTGGCAGGAGGCCACCCGAGGCCCGCACTCTGCCCAGAGAGCCATCACCATCATCAAGGGGCTGGAGCCCAGTGGGTCTCGGGAGTTCGAGAAGGTCCTAGTGTCTGCAAGCGAGCACCTGCGGATGGAGCAGCCCGTGGCCGAGGTCCCTCAGGCTGCCAGGGACCACAGAAGACACAGCCACAGAGAGCAGCTGCAGGAGGCCGACGGTACCTTGTCCAGGGTGGTGCAGGTGAGAGCCGTCCGCCGAGCTGCCCGCAGCTGCGCTTCAGCTTGAGGAGGTGCTGGGGACCCTCAAGCCCTCGCTTCCTTTCCTTAACGACCATGAGGGCTGGCCTGGAGTGCCGTGCTCAGCCCTGTACAGGGGGAGCTGGGTCCCACATGGCCGACCGCAGTTCGAGTTCCAGCCTGCAGCTTGAAGCCGTGCCAGGCGCGAGGTGTGCGTCTCTCTATCCTGACAGATAGGGAGGTGGAGAAGGCTTATGCTGTGATCGTGCCCCATGGGGGGGATTTCTCTCTCTCTTTCATGTGCCCTCTGGCCATATAGAAACAGCAGAGGTGACTTTGCGTTCCCCAGCAGTTAGCAGGCTGCAGGGTCACGGCCTTCCTGCCCCCTGACCTCCCTACAGAAGAGAGGCTCTCAGAACAGAGGCTACGCTCCACCCTTGCTGGGCAGGGCTGATCTGAGTGGTGTTTCAGAAGGGGGCATTTTTTTTTTATAATTTTATTTCATTTTATTTATTCATTCATTTATTTTAATTTGACCAGAAAGAGAGAGAAAGAAAGTGAGAAAGCAAGCCACCAGGTCCGGGACTTGAACCACGGTCAGCCATGTAGGAGTATCCAGAGCCTTAACCACCACGCCACCTGCTGGTCCCCCAGAAGGGGGCTTTTTGTCTGGTCTGGCTGGCTCTAGGGCCACAGCTTGTGCTTGCTTGCTTGCTTGCTTCGTCACATTTTATAAAGGGCTTAGAACTGAGCAAACTGGGCTTCGGGCTGCCCCTGGTCTGTGATCACACCTGCCACACGCTCCTCAGCACCTGCGTCCTCGCTGGCAAGCAGGGAAGTGCCTTGAGTACCGCCAGAGCTCACGCGGCCTCGGCGTGGGCATCACCAGTGGAGGGGAGGGGATGGGGCCGGGAGGTCTCTCCTCTCCCCTCCCGACGCCCCTGGCTCTTCCTGCTCCCGGCCCCCTCCGTCTTTCCCCCACCTCCCGTCCTGCTCGGGGTTTGCTCTTCTTTCTCGTGTTGGACTCTGAGCCAGGCCCCAGGTGCCCGCCTGTGCCCAGTCTCGCTTCATCCATACGCCGACTCTCTCCCCTGCATACTGGTGCGAAGCAAATCCCAGACATGATCAGTGTGTTTTTGTGACCTGTGTTCTTAAATCTGTGTCCCTGCCCTGTGCCTGGGCATGTGTAACATGCACACGGACGCTGTGCCCTAGGGGTCTGGGTTTTCACTCATTTCTCTCGAACTGTTTCCTCATTCAGAAACTGCTTCGCTCTCCTCCTTCTCATTCCTTTCCTTCTCCCCTCCCTGACCCTTAGCAAAGCACTTTTGAGGACTCCGGGTCCTGACTGCTGTGACACTCCACTAGGAGTTAGACAGGGCTTTATTTAGACTGCGTCCCTGCCAAGTACGTGCGCTCAGCGGGGCAGGCGGCCGTGCCCACTTGTAACCTCAGCCCTCCGGCAGTCTTCCCCCGGGGCTGCTCCTTGGCGCCCGCGCCTGCTACTCCCAGGAACGCACTCGGTCCATAGCACAGGTGGTCTGAACTGGCTCCGTTCTGCAGAGTCCCCGGGAAAAGAGGAGGGGCCAGGAGCGTCCCTTTCCACTGCTCTCTGCAGCTGCCCTTGGGGAGAGCAAAATAGGACAGCTGAGAGCTGACAGCCAAGGGACTCTCCGAGCAGCTTCCGGCTTCTGCTACCCACTCCCACTGTCACAAATGAGGAAACTGGAGCTCAGTGAGGCCAAGGGCTTTCTCCAGGGCCACACGTGGGCCCATGGCAAGGCCAGGCGAGTCCATATCTCTGGGCTCCCAGTCTGCTGATCTGGCTGCCACGCCCAGCCTTGAAAGCCAGCCGTCTCCCTGGCCTAGGAGTGGCTGGACGGGCTGTCAGTCTTCTGCCAGGACCCCAGGGTGTGAGAGGCCAGTGCAGGCAATGTTTGCAGAGCGCCCACTCACCAGTATTCTCATTGGCTCTCCAAAGTCAGTGATGTCATGCTTGACTGGGCCAGGGCCAGACACCTTCCTGGACCGCTCCTTTGCTTACACAGTGGGGCTTTGTTTCCCTGGGTGCTTTCCTGTTGGTGCGAGGTATATGGTGGGGTGGTGGGAGTCTGAAAGCCGACTCCTTACCGCTCTCTCACCTAAGCAAGTTACTTACGTCATGGCAACTCGGTTTCCTTTGTATAAATGGTAAAATTCTCAAACCTGCCCGGGAGGATCGCAGTAGGCTTCAGCGAGTTAGCGTGTCAGTACACTGCCCCGGATCCACAGTAGGTGTGTACTGCTGAGTGTGCAGTGAGTTCTTGTAAACTGTGCGGCCCTGAGAGTGCCTTGGGAACAGGGCGGGCGAGTACCTTTCTTTAAGCTTACTTATTTCTCCCATGAGAGAAGGCGCCAGGGAGAGAAGCATCTCCAGCAGGTCCTCATGCCACGACTCACGCCCCGCCTTGGCCAGCCCGAATCACCAGCAGGCGTGTACCTGGGGTGCACGGAGAGGCTTCAGAATGCCATGCCGTGCTGCTGTGGCAGCCCAGGGCAAAGTCTGTTTTATGGATAAGGAGCCCAGGCCCACGGTTAGCAAGCTCCAGCTGGGTCACGGGTGCCATGCTGGGCCGCTGCTCAGAGGGACAGCCCGATCCAGAGGGTGACACCCTTCCAGCCACAGCCGCCGTAGCCGCGTTTGTGAATCAGCCCTGGGGAAGCCAGTTTAATACGTGTGCTTCCTGCTTGTGGGCGTTGACAGCCTCCTGGGGAAGAGCCTTAAATAGACACACCGGTGACATGCTTAGGTTCAGGGTGGCTGTGCCCCATAAAGGAAAAAGCCAGGGCCCTGAGGGCTGGCGGGATCACACTCCAGCTTCCAGGCAGCCCACCAGGGTACTGGGCCCGTGCTGTGCTCCCGGGTCTGGCCCACGCCATCCGCTCACCCATGGGGCTTTCTGGAATAAGCCCTCAGGTGCCCAGGGCCGTAGCTGGTCCCGTCCGGCAGTGTGGGCACACAGCCTCCTACACTGCAGTGGCAGCCCAGCCGGACACAGCTGCATTCTCAGAATGCCTCACTTCAGGAGACCCTGAAGGAGGAAGTTTCCCCAAGCCGGACTGCCCCGGCTCCCATGGGTCGGCAGGCAGGCAGGGAAGAGAGGGTGAGCCCCCTCCTCCGCCCAAGTGGGCCGGCAGAGCTGGGCGGGGAGGTCCTAGGCCACGCTCACACAGCGACCCTGACACGTGACTTCAGTGTCTGCACAGGGCACCTGCCGCCTTCCCTCTACCCAGTTGGACAGCTCCGGCAGCTGGTCTGGAGCTAAAATTATCGAGGCTGACGTCACTGGGCCTGAGGGCAGAGCCTGGGCTGCCCAGCAGAAGGGACACTCTGGCCGGGCTGGTCTAGGTGAGGGGCCACTCGAGAGAGAGAAGGCGTGAGAGACTGAGACACCAAATCATAGAGGGGGGAAGAGAAAAGGGAGAGATGGAGGGGGCCCCTGGCAAGCTCAGGAGCCCGAGAGGAGAATGAGCGGTCAGCCCTGCAGCAGCTGGGCTCCTGGCTCCACGGCTCCCCGAGAGCCAGGCTGGTGAGCAGGAGGGGAGGATGTGGACCTTCGTCACCCAGCTCCTGGTCACCCTGGTGCTCCTGGGCTTCTTCCTGGTCAGCTGCCAGAACGTGATGCACATCGTCAGGGGCTCCCTGTGCTTTGTGCTGAAGCACGTCCACCAGGAGCTGGACAAGGAGCTGGGGGAGAGCGAGGGCCTCGGCGATGACGAGGAGACCATCTCCACCAGGGTGGTCCGGCGTCGGGTCTTCTGGAAGGTAACCGCCAGCTGCCGGCGCCATGGGGCTGAGCCAGGGCTGAAGGGGCACTGCTGTTGGAAGGAGCTGGGGAAGTGCCAGACTCTGAGCCAGGAGACCTGTTGGAAGCGGGAAGGCCTCGGGGCCGGGTCCTGCACTGCGGCAGGTGTTCCATGTGGACCCTCCGCAGCCCCAGCACGGTGACAGCTGAGGCCCCTCAGCTCTGGACTAGATCCCTTAGCTCTCACCCCATCTCCACCGCCTCCCAGCTTTGGGACTGGGCGTCACGGCGCAGTGACGTCCCTGTAGGGGCTCTAAGCTGTCAAGTGCTGTGCGTCTAACAGGTGCCTCGCGTCCTCTCAGGCCTCCTCTGTCACCCTGACCGTCCCTGTCCTGCCTGCTCCAGGGCCACAGTCATGCTCTAAGCCATCCTGCATCGGGCCTCAGGGCCCACGGGCCCACCCCGGGATGTCGGCTCAGCTGCCCCACGCGCCAACTCCATTTCCTGCCGTGGCATTGACTGGGCGGTTTTTGGGTCTCCCGGTCCTCCACTCGGGTTCCCAGCTTCCAGTTGCCGATCTTGTGTTTTTTCCCTTCTCTAATTCCAGGGGGATGAGCTTCAGAATATTCCAGGGGAGCAGGTGACAGAGGAACAATTCACGGATGAGCAGGGCAACATTGTCACTAAGAAGGTGGGTGCCGCGTGTCCTCCGGAGGGTCCTCGCCCCCAGGCCACAGTCCGGCCATACAGCAGGAGGCGAGCGGAGGGCGAGAGCTGCAGTTACAGCCGCTCCCGCTTGCATGGCTGCCTGAGCTCTGCCTCCTGTCGTCAGCATGGCCTTCGGTTCTCAGGGGAGTGCAAACCCTGCTGTGAGCCATGCACGGGAAGGTCTAGGCTGTGGCCCACAGAAACCATCCTCCCACCCCGCTCCATGGAAGAATTGTCTCCCACAAAACTGATCCCTGGTGCCCAAGAGGTTAGGGACCACTGTGCTAGGGACTGAAAGGTGTGAGAGTGGTCAGCTCAGAGCTCACACGGGGGCAGGCCCGGCTGTGCCTGGCCACCTTCCTGTTCTGTGGCTGTGGTTCAGGAGTGGGGCGTTTCGGTCTTCTGCATCCAGACAGGGCGTTCCTCATAGCCCACCTTAACCAGACTAGCTCCTGCTACTCCATCCAAAAGGACCAGTCCCCGTGAGACGTTCCCAGCCAAGCCCCACTGACCTAGCCCTGAGAGGACGCTGGGTTCCCCTCTGGCCTCCCAGGGGCCTCTTCAGATGAGAAGTCCAGGGTGGTAGATCGAGTCGGCAGTTGTGGTAGTGGCTGTCGTGTGTCGGGCACTGTGGGAGCTGGGGCGGAAGGGGCAGGGGCAGCGGGGGGGGTCCCACACCTCCTTCCACAGGCCAGGAGCCGTGTCCGGCTTTCCTCCCGCCCAGCAGGCTGCTGTGGCACGGGCTGTGTCTTCATGTTCCAGCTCCACCCCGAGCACATGGCAGGTGCAGAGGGAGCAGCTGTTTGAATATTTGGATGACTAGACAGGAGAATGGGTGGACTGAACTGAATTACTATAGATGAAAAAGAAATAGCGCCCCCTGCTCTCGGGCGCTGACAGAACGGGGAAGACAGCCAGACGGGCATCATTACCAAGAGGCAGAATGAAACGCCTGGCTTCCACATGGAGGCAGCGTGCAGTCAACTTGATCATTAAATAAGACCTGCCGAGGCCCCCCACAGACTCGAGCTCCCCTGAGATCGTCCACTGTATGGTTTTCCTCCAAGTGAGGGGTTGAGAGTTCAGCCCCTTTTCTCGACTTCTCAAGAAAGGGCCCCTTAGGACGAAGGCTCTCTCCCTCTCCGTCTCTCGCCCGAGGACTTCGCAAGTTCTCCATCGATGCTGAGACTGGCCCTTCCCCCATCTCTCTTTTCCAGATCATTCGCAAAGTGGTCCGGCAGATAGACTCGTCTGGTGCCGGTGACACTCAGGAGCACGAGGAGGTGATTGTCCAGGGGCCCCTGGAGGAATCCAGTGAGCTAGAAGTTGATATTGATCACTTTATGAGACACGCCAAGGTACCGAGGTGGTGCGGGCTCCTGGAGGCTTTCGGAGCGGCCCAGCGCCTCCCCTGCCCATTCTGCTCTGCTCGCCCCACCGGGGCTGTCTGTGCCCGCCCTCTCGTCCACTCACTCTGCAGCCGCAGTCTTCCTTCTGCCCTGGCCCCTGGCGGGCAGTCTTTCTGCTGCCTCCAGATGCCCCTTTTGGTCTTTGGCCCATTGTTCTCCGTCTGTGTGATCCGTCCTGCTTTCTGTCTCTGCTGCTATCTCCAGGTGGAGCTGAGAGGGAGTGGCCTGCAGCCCGACCTGATAGAGGGCCGGAAGGGGGCGCAGATAGTGAAGCGGGCCAGTCTGAAAAGGGGGAAGCAGTGAGCCGGGCCTCTCTCCTCGGACTAGCCTCGCAGGAGGTAACAACTCTCCCTGTCCTTCTGCATGGCCTGGTCCTGTGGAGTGGCTGCACGAGCTCACCCCGTCCCCTGCTCCTGCTGCGCCCACCCATGTGGTACAAGGCCATGGCCATAGGCAAAGCATGGACTCACTCCCGCCCTACTGCCTATGTGTCTGCGCCTCGTCTCCTTACCAAGAAACAGTCAGTAGCGCCTGCTTGGCCTGCCTCGGGATGCACAGACAGTCTGGGAGAAGTGCTCTGAGCGGCGCAGGTCCCTGCAGGCCATGTGGTGTACTATCAGGCAGCAGGGCTCAGAGGGAGGACGGGCCCGGGGCTGGAGAGCACGGAGAGTCTGTCCAGGCTGCCGTGTTCCAGCAGAGCTCGGAGACTCAGAGCTGGGCCAGCCCTGAACCTGGAGCCCCTCTAGAGCCCTGGCCAGCCCCAGGCATAGACTCCCCAGTATCTCCTAACACGTGTCGCTCTCTCCCTCCTGGGACAGGACTGTTGTAGGCCGGAGTGCAGGAACCCAGGTGGCGCCTGGGTGGGGTATGTGATTGTGAGTCGGGCCTGTGCTCTGTGACACGGCGTGTGCTGGGTGCAGGGTCCGTGCCGTGCAGAGCGAGGCCCAGTCCCCTCTCCGAGGGCCTGTGCAGTGCTGGGAGCCCCACGGCCAGCTCTGATCCTCGTCCTCCCTGAGGGATCCTGTACTGAGCTGCCCCGAGGCCCTCATCGTGCCCAGCTCGGGGCAGCTCAGTACAGGATGCGTCGGGGTGGGAGTCAGCGGGAAGCACCGTGGCCCATCATAGCCCTCGAACCCAGGGCCTGGCTCCGGGCCAAGCAGCAGGCAGGCTCTGGCTTTCTGCATTCCTTTGTGTGGCAAAAAGCAGAGCCGGCTGCCTCCTGAGCACCCGGAGTGCTGACTCTGGGCTTCCAGCAAATCTCAGCGCTTGGGCGAAAAGAGGCCTGAGGATCTGGTTATGGGATAAAATTAGACCTGACTCCTCAGCAGCTTAAGCAGGTCACAGCGTTAACCCCAGTACTGCCAGGGGGTCCCCGCAGGGCACCGGTGTAGGACCGTGCCTAGCTGCCATCGGGGCCAGACGTCACCCAAAGGTGCAACCAAGTTAAAAAAGCCAAGCGCGAAGGGAGAAGTGCTCTCCCTGCTTTGTGTTTCTGGTGGCAGTAGCGGCGGTGGCTTTAAATGTGAGCTTCTGTCTGGCTCTGGTTCTACTGACGTTCCGAGCAGGAGGGACAGGCAGCGCAGATGCCAGGCCGGGAATGTTAAAAACGTGCTGTAGACGATCTGCAAAGTGGCTGGAACCTGCCCCACCTGGTGACAGGCGAGAGTGTCATGGGAGCAGTCTGGTTCCAGGACAATGCTGACCCTTTACCAATAAAGGCAAAGGGAAGCGGGTGGTGGCAGGGAGATGTGATGAAGGACTGGGCATGAGACAGGAAGGACGGTCCCTGCCCGGACCCCAGAGGCCTGGGACAGCATAATATAATAGTCACCATTCACAGTGACTTTCTAGAACATAGCTACTGCCAGTGGCGAGAAGGGACTGTCCTCTGCGGAGAGTGAAGGCTGGGGCTTGAGGGTCCAGATTGAAGACCTTGTTCCTCTGCTCCCAGGGTCATGTGACCTTAAACGAGGTCATTTAAATGCCCTGGGCTTCAGTCTCCTCCAGGGAGATGATGGCAAGAGAGCCCCTGAATGTGTGTGCTCTTCGGCAAGGTTTAGAAACGGTGGTAGCTGTCCGCTGCTGGGGGTCGGTAGGAAGGTGCTTGCTTGGGCACTCGGTCAGCGGCATGCCTCATTTGTGGGGTGACTTGGGGCTCGGTCAGCTGGCCCGCCTCCACCTCTGGCTCCTCATCCACACACAGCAGTCATGCCTATATTTCCTCATAGAATGGGGATGGTGCACGGTGAGTTTCTGCAAGAAAAAGGCCTTATAAAACAGTAAGCTCTAGGCCACCCGTACCCCTGCATCACCAACACCCAGCATCAGGTTACATTGTACAGTGTCGATCCTGGGCCCTACACTGGACCTACCGGATGAAAATCCTGGAGCCCGGGGCCAGCAAGTGCTGCAGAGATTAAGGCGCTGGGTCTCATGTGGCCAACTGTGCAGTTTGAGTCTTGGACCTGATGGCTTGGAAATCATGCCGGGCACATGTGCATGCATGCCCCAAATCCCAAGAAGCATGGAAGAGC